GAATAATTGGAACCCTACACAATTCCATCAAATCTTTTACAGGTATATTTCACCCTACATCGTTAATTGGTTCCAGAGATTACACCTTAAGATCAAAAATTTAGCTTGATGTGCCTTTACCGATTTGGCCACAAAGGAGCGTTTGGTTAGCAAGGTCGAATTTACTGTATTTAAACTTCAATCTTCCATGAGCTCGCCAAGCTAAATGACAGTTCCGTATAGGATACAGGTTCGAATCCTGTTGGAGGACAAATATTTTCTGTGAAAATTTTTCAGACATTTAGGCCGGTGTTTAATACTGTTTATTATAAACAGAGCATTTACTTAAATATTTGTATCTATAAAAAGAATGTTAAACATAAAAATATCTTAAAATAATTGTCGGACTTTGTCCATTTCATAATATATATATATATATATATATATATATATATCATAATATTATTTTTAGTTTATTTCAATATGATTTTATATGTGTTTCTTGTTATTTTAGTGTTTCAGAGTTTCTACTATTTTTAACAGTTAACGTAAACCTGAGTAAAATGACCTAAGGCGAGTTTTATTTTTTCATATAATATTTCATAAAAACCAACATAACTTCGAAAATGACTTAACTTGAAACAACTTAAATCAAGGTATCACTATATTACTACTGTCATTAGAAATTATGAAATAAGACTATTGAATAACATAAGATAATACACAGAGCTATTCTCTAACTAAAACCATGGAATGCATTCACCTTTATATTAGAAACATTATGCAACATGCCACAAGATTGACATGTGCGTAATATAGAAGTAAATGTGTCAAATGTATGTGTGATAGCACACAAAGTTAATGCCACTGACAAAGAGCATTTCCCAAGATGAGACTCACACTTTTTGTTCCCATATCAAAGAGTAAGTATTATTGATGTCACATCCAATAGAGGAAGTGGCTGAGGGTGATAATGACAGAGGGTGAAAGAGGTGGGATAAAATGCAAAATGGTGGCATGGGAAGTTGTTATTTACTTAGCCTTATATAGAAAAAGATACAAATGCAATGCAGTTGTTTGTTTTTTTTTTAGTTTTTTTTTTTTTTTGCTTGTCTTCTATCTTTAATTCTTTTTTTTTTTTTAAATTAAACCATTGTATCTGTGAAGCACTTTACAGTCTAGCTTGTGGCCACATCACAAAACACCTGTTCCTATATGATCATCTAAGTTAAGCAACATCATGCCTGGTTAATACCTAGATGAGTAACCACCTGGGAATACTAAGTGCTATAAGCGTGGATGTGAGGGTGGCATAAAGGGCTTACTGCCAAATCACATTGAAACACTCCTTCCCGTACAATCACTGAAGTTAAGCAATTTATAAAACTGTATACATGAATAAATATTATTGCATACATGCATTCTTTAATATTATATAAAAATTTTCTAACAAATTTTGTATGTAACAAAAACGTTTTTGTAAATTTTTTTCATGTCTTGCAGTTCTCAAACATTTGAACTTTATCATATGTGGCTCTTACATTAAGCAAGTTTGACCACTCCTGGCATTGTATTAAAGATTAGAGCAGTAGTTTCCAAACGGTGTAGCACACCTCATACGTGTGGTGGAAGAGGATAGCAGGTGAGATGGAATGCTTGAAAGACAATCAAAGATTTAGAAACAGTTTTAAAAAATTCATATGCCAAAAATAAATATGATTTCAAAATTTAAATTATTATTATGGATTACATGCACGGGTTCAAGTATAAATAGTGATAAATAATTATTGACCAATTTTATCATTGTGATATTTTTGCATTATATCAAGTATTAAGAATATAGTAACTAGGGTTTGCAAATTAGAGGAGAGAGTTATCAATGATAATGTTCTGATTATGAATCCACAGTTATCTCTCCCTTTAACCCTCTCTCTGTCTTTTAATTTTAAATGTGAATTTATATTACATAAAATTTGGTGTGGCATAAATGAATTTTCATCCCGAAAATGCATCCCACAAAAAATATTTGGGAACTACTGGGTTAGAGGTTATTTAGTGACTTATTGGTTGCTGTCACTACAAGTCCACCCATTGCAATGTTTCATTTTTCATTTATTTTCATTTTTTAGGGGTTTTATTACAACTGACCAATTAACTATCAAATCAGATTTGTCCTCCAAGATTCCACCCATTAAAATGTTTCAGAGTGATAATCACATTAATAGCAATAATTAAAAAAGAAATGTATTAATCTCTTAGTGAATATGTTTGCTGGTTGCTACACAATGTGCACTGACTAAGTCCATGACCATTTCCAGAACTTTGCTATGACGCCATGTGTATATCTGCAGTCGGCACACAGAAAGCATATGATGTAGAGGGTCTAGATCACTTTGACTTAATGTGCATACATCGATATCAGTGTATCCCCGCAGTCTGAGGTTGGTCGCATTTGGTAGGAGATTATAGGTACATCACAGGAGAAATATTATGAATGGCTCCATTGCAATCATGGTATTCCATGATAGCTTCATCAGATCAATATCACTCCATGTAGTCCAAGCACATTGTTTGGATTGAGAAGCAGCAGCAGCTTCTCTTTCTTGAAATTCCTGAGTTTTTCAATGACCATGTCTCATTTACCCTTTGGACTTTCTTTGGAAAAAAAAATGGTTGCTCAGGCCAGCTTGATTGGTTTGGGTAAACCCCATAATCTCCTCAAATAATAGGCTATATTCTGCTTCTTGGGTGGTTTCTACTGCTGACCACTCAGTGCCAGTTTTGATATCTCACTGTATTCTGCAGATGAACTCCTTGGCTGAGTCCGTCATCATAATGTAAAGGTGTACCTTTCCAACCTTGAAATCCTCTACCAATATAGGGATGGAAAATTGCACTGTGGACAAACAGTGTGAGTGGGGACCCTAACTACTTACACAGGTACTTGTTGATACACTGTTGAGTCTGCTGAATGCAAGAGAAATACACATGCAATGGCCACAGAAGCCAGGGCAGCAAGCCATGTTGGTAGCTACCATGTTTGGTTTTCCAGGGAGATGTGTTCTGGTCATCTAGTACCACTTTCCTTTACCAATCAAATCAGTCATTGGAATTTCATACGGCTGTCCAAGGCTCTTCACTGGTTTCTCTTCATTGCCATCCACATGTACAGCTTAAAGTAGCACTGCAGCAGTTCATCGGCACTGACCTTAGACTGGACCAGAATGGTGATGTCATCCATGAAAGTTCTAAGAGGAGGAAGAACCATTTATTTCTTAGTCAACATCACTCCCTTTGCTCTGTCCACTGCACCTCGTTATATATATATATATATATATATATATATATATATTTAGGCAGCATTAATGCATGTTTCATTAAATAATATAGACAAGTTTTGTCTATTTTAAGTAAGTTTCTTTCATATTGTCTAATAAGCTTAATAACATTATCATTGAAAGACAAAAGGAAATCACCATATTGATATATGCTTAAATCAAATCTAAGCTTTCAGCTTACATAAGCCAATATCAAAGATGACAATTACTTTTCAATATATCAACCAACACAGAGACAAAACAATAATGATAGTCTGTTTTTGTTGCATGAAAAATTTCAAAGCAACGACTAACTCATGTATACAAGACGCGGAAGTGAAAATTGTGTCACAGCTCATGACATCACAAATGACCACGCGAGAGTGAAAACGAGAAGTATTAAGTATGGGAAGCCGTTGGTATAAACCAATGGCTTCTGTTATCAATTATAGGCATTTAAGAATATTTGTGGAGATTTCATAGTTTATTTTGTTCAGTTTAGGTTTCAACTGTTTTATGTATATAGCTTCAAGAATTTTTAGTTTTTGTTTATTGTTTTCATGTTTAAATATAGTTGTATTTTCAACAAGGATTTAGATTGGATTGGATTGGATTTTGTAATGTTAAATATTCTCGATATTAGACATTCTATTTTTTATGTGTTAGTGTCCGAAATGTCCTTCTTGAATCACAGTTCAATATATATCAAGAATATTTAACATCGAAAAACATAAGAAAAATTAATTCCTTTTAATAATATGTGGAAATATCTACTCTTTGCCTGATGAAGGGTGCGAGACTTGAAACGTGTGTAGTAAAATTATGGAAAATAAAGCATAATATATTTTTTTTTAAATCTATATTACAACCAAAAACGATTCTCTTTTCTTTTTATTATACACACTTTTCTCTCATTGGAACTACTATAACCCTTCCCCTTTATTTATATATATATATATAACCCTTCCCCTTTATATATATATATATATATATATATATATATATAGATAGATAGAGAGAGAGAGACACACACACAGACAGGAGGATGTATTAAAAAGTTCTTGACCCTACCCACTTCCCAAAATGAATATTTCAATGAACATCAAAATACTGATTTTGGTAAATGGGTTAACCCAAGAATTTTTCAGCACTCCAAGTAGTATATAGCATAAATATTCATGTATCTATTAGATTATACTACCGAATACACAAGGCACCAGCTTATGTAGGTAGCTAATGAATTGTTTCTTTTTATTTCTGTATTCTGATCAAGACATTCAAACAAAACATATAAAGAATGTACATTGTTTGTTCATGACACAGTCCTGTCCTGAAAATGAAACATTTTTTTCTTAAATCAAATGCATTTTTATCCACACTCATCACCCACTTTATCAGTTGTTGTTAATGTTGTCTGATTCACTGATAATTATACTTTTCCCCTCCGTCAATAAAATCAACTCGGTTAATAATGCATTAATCAGGCAAGAGACATTTCTTTGAACTTAGGAGACAACCATTGCTTTTAGAGTCAAAATCACTTTAGGCTATGGTCAGTGTTTGGGTGTGACAGAAACACATACACACACACACTTTCTGTTCTTATGCTATACAAAAGGTTCCTCTTATTTTTTTGATAAAAGCAATGACAAAAAACGATGTTCTTAAACAACTACTAGAAAACAAAAATGAAAAAAAAAAAACAAAGAAAAAGAAAACAAAGAAAAAGAAAAAAAAGAAAAAGAAAACAAAGAAAAAGAAAAAAAAGAAAAAGAAAACAAAGAAAAAGAAAACAAAGAAAAAACAAGAAAAAACAAGAAAAAAACAAAGCAAAAACAGGAAAATATTTTAATAAGAAGATAAAAAAAAGGGAGAAGTAAAGATGCAGCAACAATGAGAAAAACAATGGGAAAACTGTTACAAAGCATTGCTGTAACCCAGAAACATTTTCAAAAGAATTCCAAAACTGAATGCAAAGCTGATAACCGATTCCACTTCATGATGGGAATGCTATGTCTTCTTTTCAATGTATAATTCTTTTGTATAAGATTAAGGGGGAAAAAAATCTCACACACGTATACTTACATTGACAGTCTGAAAAAGAATAATGCACAGTTCTATAATTATCTCCCTTTGTGATCTTTCACTGCTGTTGCTTTTGTTATGATAGGATACTTTATTTTGATAATTTATTACTATTATTACTACTACTACTACTACTATTATAAAGAAGAAATTTTCTTGTTATATATTCCAACTAATAGTAATGTTTTGGTTAAAATTAATTTTTAATTCCTGACATTTTTTTATTGATCATTATGAATATCTTCTGTTTTTTCAAGTGTCAGAATTGTTTCATTTGAATTCATTATAGTCATCATTAGCTGATAATTTTTCATTATCATTATGTAATTATCTTTGCGATATTATAATTAGATTTTTATCTTAAGTTCATAGAGTACTTCCAATTTGTCAGATGCATGCTAGGTGGCGCTGTTTCAGAACTATAAAAAAATGTAACAATAAACAATTTTCTTTTTTTTTGCTTTTGGATTTAATAATGATAACAACAGGAAACCACTTTCCAGGTTCTAATTTCTCAGCATGATGAAGTGCATCACACACCTACACACAATTTCTAACATGTATGCACACATTTCTATTATTCTGCTAAGTATCTGGAGATCCTGGACAAAATCCAAAGAAGAATCTGCAATATCTGTCTATATTATGTACACAATTTACATTGCTCGGACTATCATCTTTGTCACCATATTTATCACAATGTTTCGGCCATTGTATGTTCCAGCCTTCTTCAGGTGATTGGAATATCAAACTGAACCCTTTATTTCGCTTGCTGGGATAGACTGTTCTAGTTCCATGTGCCATGTCTAATGGATGTCAGTTATCATTTACCTCCTATTAATTCCCCTCTCCAAGTTCTCCACCGCCTTAACCAGCTATTGAACTCACTCTTTTTGAGTTCTGTCACTGGATCTTACTAACGCCTTTATCCACTGTGCCATGTGTTCTCAAATTAAATGCAATGTCATTTGTTACCTTCAGTCTTCTTAATTCCTGTCATCTTATTGTTCTCTCTCTTTAATAATGTTTTTCTTTTTCTTTTCTTTCACTCAGTGACCCCTTGCATCTTAGTGGCTTTATTACCTTACTTGGGTTGAAATGAAAAAAAAAAAACAAAGACTATAATGTTTGTAATAAACAATTATGCAGAAGTAAATAAGTCAGAGTGGCTTGCATCTGATGTAAAGGAAAATAACTTCCTTACCTCAATACACAACATGTAGCAGCAACATTCTGTTCCTTTGAAAATAGTATGAATGTTCCCCTCCCCACTTAATTATTCTGGAAGTATATGATTCTGAAATGTTGGCTTTTATACAACTTACCGCAGTTCAACCAATAGTAATCCACGTGCTGATTCATAAGACTGGAGGATGACATTTAACTGTGTGACTGAAGATGAAGCAAAGAACACTGATTGGTCAGTCAGCCATTGTTTTGGCAAAGTAAAAAGAGCTAGAGCAGTGAGAAGGGGGTGGTGATTGTCACGTTGGTGATGTGTGTGTGAATTTGAGAACTGTGTATTCAGAAGGAATACTCATTGTTGTACGAGTGGCATCTGAGGAGTAGAACCTCATTTACCTACAGAAATTACTACAAACTTCTTATTATAACTATATATATATATATATATATATATAACAATGTTTTTCTTCTTTTTTAACTATCTCTGTGCACAAATATATTTTCTTTCTTATTGAATTAAGTTATGCTTTATATTAAAACATGTAAAATTGCTTCACGTGCTGAAATTCAATTCTATTGACAATGCTGAATTCTTTTACTTTGAAAGTTGCCATCCTAATTACAAGCCAGAAGTTAATTTTTATATGTCTTGACCTACCATAAGAAAATTTCAATCTAGTCATGAAAAAAAATATCTGTCAGATTGTAGATGTAGGTGTAGGTGTGAGGAAAAATAAGAAAAAAAATTCATAAATACCAGGACCTTGTTCAGGAGGCAAAAAAAGCCATCGAAGGTTTAGTTTGAGCCAAAAGAACTGACACACTTATAACTGTAAGTTGAAGAGATAACTGCATGTCAGGGAAAAAGTAGCTTAAACACAGTAGCCACTATGGAAGCAAAGATTATGCAAATGAAATCAACCAAATTAAATCAGATGGAATGCAAAAATATATATGATTAGGTAGGAACGGTGATTCACAAGGAACTTTGCAAATAACAGGGATTTAATGATTTAAAACAATGTTATATATGTACAAACCAAAAGTAATGTTTACAAAATAGAAAATGTAGCATTCTATAAAAATTCAAACATATCGCCCAAAACCAGGCCTGAAGACTAACTTTATGCTAATCAGAATGAAGTTGTAATTCCTTCCACTACAAACCTGGGGCCAACAGTGACCTCATCCATTTCAATCCAAGTAGCAACCCTCACTAAAAGATTATAATAGATAAATGTTCTATACGTAATAATATTAGTAAAATATAATAGTGAGTAAGTAGTAATAATTAATTATATAATTGTATAATAATAATAGATAAATAGTAACAAAATTCAATTGAATCTAATAAAAAGACATGTATATCATAATACAGTATATTGATAATAGACTGACACTACAAAATCTCAAAGAGCTCTACCAAATAACAAACACCACATCAATTGAAAACTTTTAACAGCAGCAACAACTAAAATGGGTAGCACATGTAACTAGAAGAGAAAATAATGACATTAATGAAGCTGTTAACTTTCCACACTGCCAAAAACAACAGGCTTGTCTGGGAACCTCTCATCAAGTCTAGAAAGAACTATAACTGAACTTGAGAAGTCTAATTTCCTGAAAAGAAAAAGATTTTAGAAATTTCAACTGACAGTAGCGCTAATTATTCAGTCAATGAATGCCAAATATCTCCTGTATAGAAACGGCTAATCTCACTATTACCACTACTATATATATATATATATATATATATATATATATATATATAGATATAAGTGTACATTGAAGTCAACATAGCCTGACGATTGCATTTAGAATGAGACAAACTGTTGCCTCTCAGCGTTGACTTCAATGTACACTTTTATATTTGCATACACTCTATCCCTGATATTGAGCACTTTAACTCATAAATTTACCATACCTTAAAACCATATCAGATATATTTTTGTGTATTTAGGCAGAAAATTCTCTTTTAGACACGTCTGATTGAATAAATTACAAACATTATGTCTGCTTATTTTGAACATAATCCTTTCCGATTCATGAATGTTTTTCCATATATTACAATTAAATGAGGCAAGAAATGCACTGTAACAGAAAGAATCACTTTTATTTCCCAAATACTTTCCATCTCTTCAGTAATGGATAGTTACACATAGTTTTGCCTTGACAACTGCACCCTGATGATGATCTCAGAAAGAGATGGAAAGTACTTGGGAAATAAGAGTGATTTGTAACAGCAAAATCATCTGACAACATCTCACAAAATGCTTAATAACTAAAAAATCACTTAACTAATGGAGTTTCTTTTTTCCAGGTTTTCAGATGTTTAGCCATCTTGACACAATTTGTCATAAGAATCACTAAAAAACCCTTTGAGTTATTCAACTCAAAAGAGAACATGTTAAAATATTTTTTGTCAAACCCACTGTCTTCTCAAATGAGCAATGGTGAAAGGAAAAAGATCATTCAGGCCTTCAGTAGTTATACCAACATTCATACTCTGGCTTTCATCTTCAAAGTTTATTCAAGAACCATCAAGAGGACAGTATATAAGTTTAAAAAAGTGGGAGCAGTCAAGAGGAAAACTGGATCAGGAGGTCACATCAGGAAGAAGGATCATCATTTCAACTTAGAGCTAAAGAGATCAATCCAACTCAATCCATAAAACATTTGGCATGTGAGAGAGAAATTTCAGCTATGATAGTCAAAAGAGCAATGAAAAAATACTTGAAAATGAAATCATATGTGAAAACTATGAAGCAACTTGTTACACTAGGACAGAAAGTTAGGTTAGACAGGGTGAAGATCATCTTGAATAAGTTTGAAAATGATCCTGAATTAATATACATATATATATTTAAATTTTATTTCAATCTTTCATTAGTTACCAATCCTATGATTAATTAATGATGAACATATCTTTTGCACTAATGATCAATTTCATTACGATTCTTCTACTAAGCTTGAGGTGTAATTATACATTCTTACTGCTCAAAGTAGAGTCCAGTAGTGTTATAAAAACCTCAGAGAATTCCAGTAAGATATCTTTAATCATTTTTAAGATACAATGGATCAAAGCTTGATCTAACAAATAGACAATTTTGCTGTTACATGATTTGGACAATTTTGATGTTTATATATATATAAATATATATATATGTGTGTGAAAAGTGTGTGTATATAAATATAAATAAATATATATGTGTATAATTATTTATATATTATATGCATGGTACTTATTAGAAAGCGCTCAATATCAGAGATAGAGCTAACATATTTGGTTGGATAGATCCAACCAAATATATATATATATATATATATATATATATATATATATATGTATGTATATATATAAATTAGTATTAGAAACAATCATAAATATATAAATATATTATTATTTTTTGTTCTTGTTTTTTAAATTCTTTTACAATTTACAATAATGTTCACACTGTACAAGGCTCAAGAGTTACTCTAGGTAGAGTCACAGAGAGTAAGAGGCAGAGTTTATGGAGATATGTGGGGAAGTTAACATTTATCTGTAGACTTGAAAAGGTTAAGAATGTACCGATAGGGGAAACATCTTCTTGGGAATCGGTTCCCCAGGGCAGTGATTCATGGGAAGAAGCTGCTTGAGTGGAACTTACTTCTCACT